TGGCCCTACAAACACTCACAATGTGTGAAATAAAGAATAAAAAGGGACACTACTGCAGTACAAACGTTTTCTGACATTCCATGGGCACGTTTCTATGCCAGGAGTCTCTTTAAGGATAGCTCAGCCTTTTGAAGCACAACTTTGGCAAAGACCAGCATTGTTAAATTTAAACTTATGCCTCCTGAGATTATGAAAGGGAGTTAAGGGCTTTAGGCAGTCACAAAGAGATCTTCAGAGGTATCAGGGATGTTCAGTATCAAATGGTATCACCACCTTTGGCACTAATACAGAAACAACAGAAACAACAGAAACACTAGCATAGAAAAAAAACCTTAAGCTTGTATATATTAGTAATATGACAGGAGAATAAAATTAATATTATACACTAGTAAAAATACTAAAACACTTGTAGAAAGTCATCTAAAGCAGAATTATTTCAGCTTTTTAGTAACATTACTGCACACACTTGTTTGTCAAGCCCTGGCTATTGGCTGGTTCTGGTGACTATGTTTGTCTCTGGCTGAGATTTGCTTTTCTCTTTAACATACCCACACAAATACACACAAAAAAAATGAGACAAACTAGTTCCATGTTTTGCACCAACAAGGCACCGAAACTGTTATTTTCAAGCAATGTTTTGTTAGGAAAAAAATGTAGTACAAGGCCACGCCTGACAAAGCAAAAGCTTTACATACCCTCTGCCATGAAAGATCATTATTCTAAATATATCCAAACCACAAACCTTTGAAAAATAACATGCTCAGGTTTAGTTCAGCTTGGCTAATTCCCCCTAACTGAGACACTGCAGCCTATGGCAGAGCAGGATTATCATCAGAAATCCAATTCAAGGCACCCTACAACAAGCACCTACCAAAGTTTCTGGCAATGTGCCAAATTCTTCCATGCTTTTAGCTGGTACTTATTAGGGCCAATAGTTACTCTCCAGATACTTAAATATCCCCCACCTAAAGAACTTTAAACCTATTCTGTTCACGTAAATATATAAATCTGAAGCTTAGCCCAGCTGCTGAGACCATTCAGAACTCAGCCTGCTCACCTTGGTCTGTGTTTAAATCGTGCATTTTCAGTTGCTGATCCAGCCCTCCACTCCAGGCATGGGTAGGATCCTATAAAGCATAAAATTTCACCTTAGGACACTGCATTAATTTTCCATGGCTGCTACATACATTTCCTTTCCTAGGCTCATAGCAAAGAACTCGCTTTCAAGAGTTTTGGGAAGATGGGAACTGAGACACAAGGGTTAAGATCTGGTCCAGATTTAAACAGGCAGACAACAGAAGCTTTGCAAAATGTTTGAGTGCTTTGAGCTACATGAATTTTTTAAAGTTTAAAAGTAAAACTAAAACAAAAAAAAAATAAAAAGGCAGTTAGAGGCTCTAACAAATCATTTCCACTTCTGTAAGAGGAAAGCACATAATATTTATTCTTATTGAGAATTTGAGTGTTTATCCTCAGTACAGTGTGCCAAAATGTTCAGTAAAAAAAAACGTAAGTAGAGTCCAAAATTCAACATTCAGTAACACACTGAGATCACATCACTAAATGATATGTCAGAATGCAATGCCAAAAAATGATAATTGAAACCTTCCACTTCCTATGTTATACCAAAAAAAGGCAAAACAAAAAAGTGGCACCTAGAAACTGAAACCATTTTGAAGCACACTTCAAACCCAGAGCATTAAAAAATATAGAAACCAAGGACCTAATAAATGTCTCACTTGGAACAATGCCATGTTTTCAGTACAACCCAGTGTGGGAAGGTTAAAAAGAAAATACTAATTGGCTCTGGGCATTTATTGTGGGTAAGGATTTCTGGCTGTATCCTCCCAGTACAACTGTTTGTGAGGAACACACACACAGTTCACCACACCATTCCAGAAACAGCACAAATCAGCTTCAATTACTTTTGCATCCCACTTGTACCAGGAGCAAGTTGCTTATGTGCCTGCACCTTCACAGGCAACCCCTGCATTTAGGACTAGAAAGATGCTCATTACATAAGGAGTTAATTGGCAGAAGTAAACTATATTTTTTAGCCCACATTTCAGGTTGCATTTTCCTCCTCTTTAATTTCAGGGAGTGGCAACTTCTCATACCTTGGGCACTATGTGTCTGTAAAATAATAATTAAAAATAACCTCCCAGACTTACATAAAAAGCACAGTCCAGGACAGCTCCTGAATGCTGATATTTGAGTCTCATGGTGTTGGCAGGCACATCATAGAGCCGAACAGTTGCGTCCCAGGAGGAAACAAGCAGAAACTGAGATGTGTTTGGACTGAACTTCACCGATGAAATACCATCATCTGGAGTTTGGTTCAGTTTGAACTCATTTGATCCCGTCATCTGCAGACAATAAAGGCACAGACACAAATTGAGTGATTACAGGAACACAGCAAGTCAGCAAGATAAACTGAGACACCTGCAAGGCAGCCCAAAGGAGGCCTGAAAAGTTTACTGGCTTTGACTCACAACAAGTTCAGAACATCCACATTTCTGACAAACTCAAGATGCCAATCTCTGTCTAAAACCTCAATAAATTCCTTCCCCTACAGAGAGCTTTTAAATTTCAAATATAACATGCAAAAAAACAATACAAATACATTATCATCATTATTATCATCTATAAGCTTACATATTGTTACTTATAAATGTATCTCCCTTACTCTACTTGTGTGTGTGACTGTGTTTTTTACATTAAATATCTATAAGTTACTGTGAGCATCAAGAAGTTACTTTACAAAACACATATAAGCAGAAAGGAATCTCATTTGAAAACTCCAAAAAGTGTTGATTTGTTCCTCATTTGGAACAAATGAACATTATGGTAGTATGACTGCCATATACTTCCAAGAATTGCAACTGTATCATCTTTTATATAGTTCTGGGCTCTCTGCAACTTCCCATTCTTTAGGTTTCCACAAGTGCTACAAAATATTTGCAACAGAACAGCTTTAAGAATTTTGTCCCCCCTCACTTAGAAGGGCGAGTAAGAAAGGGAGGTTATGCTTTTGTAAATGTGATTTTGGTAGAAAAAAAAAAATCAACAATTCAATGACAGATCAATGACTCTGAAGGCAGCTGCAGCACCCACTTCAGAGTTTTGTTGCATATACAAAAATTCCAAGGACAGCAGAGACTGTGAACTGCAAATTCCAGCTGGAAAACAGTTCAAACCTTACAAACGCTCTAAAAGAAATTATTCATGACACATACACCAACAAAGCAACCAAACTTTTTTTAAGGCTTCACAAAACCTTAATAGCTCATTTCCCTTATGCTAGAGAAGCAGAGAAGCAAATTGTTTTAGATTTTCTGACACTCCTGAATCTGGATGTGCAAGTGCAGAGGTAAGATTACACCTCTGACAATAAATCAGGAGAGAATGAGCAGATGAACGAGGGCAAGGTTCAAATTTAGGGCACAATGGTTCCAGTTCAGTGCTTATCAGTAAGTGAGTGAGCAACACACATTCTTACACTGGAGAGACTTCCTGAGTGGGAGCTTTGGCAGATGCTCCGCAGGACATCCTTCAAAAAACAAAAATCCCACCCCCTGTGTCAACATAAAGTGCTATTTCTGCCATTTAAACATAAAGTGAGGGGAAAAGCCCACTCTTAATAAGAGAAAAGCTTCTTTCTGAGCCCCTTCTTCCAGCTCTGCTTTGGGAATACTTGAAAAAAGGGAGGCTGGAGATTTAGCCATACATCTTTCCACAGGAATACTATAAGGAATTCAGCAGCACCTGCAGCAGTGAGTGCTTTAGATGGATGTAGAGACACAAAATCTAAAGGAATTCAGAACAACTGGGAAAATTAGACTGGACATGGTAATTGCCTTGTCTCTCTGTGCCAGAAAACTCAAACAACAAACATGAGGATTTGAGGTACAAGTTATTGTATTATCTGAGGTCTGGTACAAGTTATTAATCAGTCCAGGAAGCAAAGTTAGTTACATCTGAGACCTGGAAGGATCTCCCAAAGGTATTTTTAATCCAGGAAAATGTACATGATATCAGAATTTAAATATATCCTGCCTCTTACACATGCTAAAGAAACAAAACACAAAAAGAGCTCTGCATTTGCACAGAAGCAGCTGCTTCACAACCAGGATTTCCAAACCACAGAGCCAAGCCCACCTCAAACAACAAAGTGCTGGTAAAATGTTGACACACATAAGAAATAAGTTGTGTTGACACACATAAGAAATAAGTCTGAAACTGCGATTCTGACTTAGACACAGGGTTCAGTTTTGGGGGAAACAAAAACCAAAACACACAACTCGTTTTTAGTGAACAGGTAAGAAATGTGTGCCTTTACAGCCCCTCTTGGCACAGCTCTGTCCCTCAGCCGGACGGAGCTGCCCGAACAAAGCAGAGCGCCTCGGTGAGAGCCCCGGGACGCCAAGCCCGCGCTTTTATTACGAAATCATTAAATTTAAAAGTACCGTTTTCATATCAGACGAGCTCCTCCCGCCGCTCCGCGCGGCAGTTGGAAAAAGCTTTGGGAGTCACGGCAGCGCCGGGGCGTCGGTCGCTCTCACGGTCCGGCCGGGGAGAAGCACGTCGAGATGCGGGAGACGCTGCAGGCGGGAAGGGAAGAGAGTGAGGGAAGAGAGTGAGGAAAGGGCCTGGGAACGCGGGAGGGACGAGGCCGCACCGAGGGGGCGAGGCCGTCCCCAGGGTCCAGTTCCACGTCTGGATCCCGATCCCAGTCCCGGTCCGGATCCAGATCTCAGTCTCGGTCTGGATCCTGATCCCCGTCCAGATTCCGGATTCCCGATCCCGGTTCCGACCCCGATCCCGGCCTCACCTCCGCCACCGCCGCCGCCGCCTCCCGCGCGCGCGCACCGCCGCCCGCCCCCGCGATTGGCCGCTTAGAACGCGCGTGACGCCACGTTCCCGGCGTGCGCCGCGCGCTTCCGCCGCGGGGCACGCCGGGAGCTGTAGTCCGGCGGGGCTGAGCTCGAGGGAGGGGGGTCCGTTCCTTGTCCTCAATCCCATCCCGGCTGATAACGGGAGGTTCCCGGGGGGAATCCCTGGGGCTGGTGCTGCGAAGAAAGAGTGGCTGGCGATGGGGTTTAGCAGCGTTAACGTGCAAACCCGAAATACGAGTTATTGCCCCTAAAACAGTCTCCTAAATTGAGTCCCTCCTTCCCCCCCACCCGGCTGCCGGTACCCCCAGGCAAAGGGGTCTGTAGCTAAAACACCGCGTTCTCCTTCCCCGCGCTGACAACCGCGTTATTTACCCCTTGGGATATTTTATTTATATTTTGTTGGTTTGGTTTGGTTTCTTGGGTTTTTTTCGCTGCCCTCGTCGCTGCTGCTGTGACACCCCCCGCGCTCGGTACCGGAGCCGGTGGCCGCGGTTTGATCGCCGCTTTGCTGCGAGATTTACTGGGTTTTGAGTGACCGGTCGTCCCCTCCGACATGGGGACCCGTCGTGGATGCCCAAAACACTCCACGAAACACAAACACGGCCCCCGTTACCGAAACTTTTCTGGGAATATCCTTCATCCCCCCGCCGAGAGCAGCGCATCGAGGGGCCACGGGCAGAGGGGACGGGCCTGGGATTCCCTGCAGAAAACGAGATAAAGAGCAAAAATGCAGGGGGGGGGGAGATAAAAATAAAACCCTCTGCGTTTCAAGTCGTTTTCTCTTTCCCCGTGCTTCCATCCCATCCCGTCTGCGGGTGTACCCCTGTGCCGGGGTCCCCCCTCACGGGGGACACGCGACCGAGGTGGCAAAAAATTTACAAATGAGGCTTAAAACGAGGTTTAATTTTTTGTTGTTGTTGTTTCCTTTCTTTTTTTCTTTAAAAATATTTACAGATCTGAAATAACGCTTTTTTAATTATTTTTTTTTTCTTTTCAAGTGGCAGGATAGCAAGAGGGGGCTCTCGGTTCGCCCGTCCCTCCCCATCAGTTCGGTTCCTGTGTCCCCGCCGCGGGGGCGGCCCGAGACCCCACACGGAGCCCCCGCGGCGGCTCCAGTCCTGCTCCTGGTCCTGGTGCCGGTTCCGACGGGGCGGGCGGGGCAGAGGCTCAATAGTCGATCTTGTTGTAGAGGTTGTAGAGCGGTAAGGCCGAGAGATTGCTGCCGGGGTAGTAGAGAGGGGCGGGGAAGGCGATGGACCGGGGCACCGGCACTCGCAGGAGGGAATTGTCCCTGAACACCAGCGGCATCCCCACCAGAGTCTGCGCCGAGGCGTGGGCCATGTTGGCCGCCTCCAGCTCGGCCGAGAGCTGCCGTTTCCACTTGTTCCTGCGGTTCTGGAACCAAGTCTTCACCTGGGTCTCGGTAAGCTGCAGGCTAGAGGCCAGGCAAGCCCGCTCCGAGCTGCTCAGGTAGCGCTTCATGTCGAAGGTGGACTCCAGCTGGTAGACCTGGCTGCGGCTGAACACCGTGCGCGTCTTCTTCTTGGCGGCGCCGGCCTGCCGGTCCCCGCCGTCACGCTGCCGGTCCCCGCAGGAGGGCGAGGAGGGTCCCAGCGGCTTCTCCTTCTCGTCCTTACAGTCCTGCTGCGGGGGCGACAGGAAGGGCCCCCGCTCCGCGCTGGCCGCCGCCGCCGCTCCGCTCCCCTTGGCGCTGCCTGCAACAGAGCGACAGCGCGGCGGTCGCACGGTGGGCAGCACCGGGACCCCCGACGGCAGAACCCCCCGCCCCGGAGCGGGGGAGCAGCGACGCGAGACCGTGGGCAGGCACTCGCCGCCTCTGTTCCTCGTGGAAGACAAAACCGGCACCGCGAGAAGCCATCCCCTTCTGGGCTATCTCTATCCCTCCATCACATACATGGATGGATGGATGGATGGGTGGATGGATGGATGGATGGATGCAGAGGTGGGTGTGAGTGCCTCAGTGAAAGCAGCTGAGTACCAGCCTTCCTACCCGACACGAGCCGGCAGATTTTACTTTACAGCATCGCATTTCACACACCGTTTATTCAGAATTAATGCTAAAAAAATTAAACATCCTTCTTCCCTTTGCCAGAGTGCTGTAAATAACCAGAATCTAAGAAAACGAGCGCTATCCATCGCACTGAAACCCTCGGGGAAATCAACCCCGGGTGTGGTGGGAAAGAAAAAAAAAAAAAGGCCACCCTATTTTTCCTGGAGCTCCTTCCTCCCCGCATCACCCACGGACGACGCAAATCCTCTGTGCCCCGAAAGCAGAGAGGATGAGACATGTGCCCCCCTCCCACTTCCCGCGGGGGCCGGGCCAGGGCCGAGCACTCCGCTGCCCTTCCCGGCGGGTCCCGTCCGCCCCGTCCCATCCCGTCCCGTCCCGGTACTCACCGAGACAGGTGAAGCTGAGGGGCTGGTGCTTGTGGCACGCCTCGGCGGGGCCCTGAGCCTCGGGGCAGAAGCAGCCGCGGTGCTTCCAGCTCTCCTCCGGCTCTTCGTCCTCCGAGGAGAGGGAGAGGGTCCTGGCGCGGGCGGGCCAGGTGGGCGCCCTTCCGCCGCCTTCCCGGGGGGGCTCGGCGCTGCCGCTGCCCAGAATGGACTGGATGGTGAAACTGGAGATGGGAGCAGCCGCCGGACAGCACTTGCTCGGATCTTCTTTGCTGCTCATCCTGGGTTCATAAGAAAGCAGAGGAGGGAAGCTCTCGCTTTAGAGGGGGCGCGGGGTGGGGGTGCCCCGGTAGCCCGCGGGGAGCCGTCGGGGGGCTGGTTTCGGGGGGCGCTCGGGGCGTGCGGCGGGCGGCTGTCCCCGCGCCGGCCCAGGCGGAATGCATGCTCCTTCCCCCGCGTCCCTATTGATCTGCGGGCGCCGGGCGGCGGGGCTTCATTTGCATGGAGGTGGCCTCCGCCGCGCCAATCACGGCGGCGGCGGACACGGAAAGTTTGGAAACCCGCGGGGTACGGGAATGATGGGGCCTGGGGGAGGCACCGAGGCCGAGGGGAACCCCCGCGGGGCCCTCACCGCGGTCCCCGGGGGCTACACTGACCCCGCGCCCCCGGGGGAGGGCTGCTGGGCGCCCGCCATCCCTTCTGGCCTCCACCCCGAGTGAGCGAGAGGGACGTGGGCTGAATGGCTTATGCCTCCCTGGGGGCGGGGGGTGTTGGGATAAACACCTTGTGCATATCCGGGGATCTTTACCCTTCTTCTCATTAGAGGAGGGAAAAAAACCTGGCACGGTGTGTTTCCTGCTCGGCAACGCTGGGAAACCTTCCAGAGCCTGGGGTTTGCGCTGCGCTGCAGCCGGGAACAAGTGTCCCACGAAATGCCTCCCGCGTCTTCATCCCGCGGTCTGGGAGCCGTGGGGAGCAGGAAGGAAGGGGGCGTCCCGCTACATTTCCAAATAAACTTTGCTAGGAGTCAGGGGCTCTTCCCCTCAGGGGCGATAAATTACAGCAACCGCAGCTCTTCCCCCGCCACTCCCGCCCTTGGGAGGGGAAACCTGCGGGTGGCAGCCGCTCTGTCACATCTGTCCCCAAGGGAACGTGGGGCAAGGCGCCGAGGACAGGGACCCCTCCAGGGTCCCCCACCTTCCCTGGAACGCACGGAGCCGCGGCTGGAAGCCCGAGGGATTCCTCAGGCCCGCGGTTTTTGGGGCCTGGAAGCCCCTTTCCCCAGAGATGCCAGGTGGAGGCCGAGCCCCGACGGCTGCCTGGAAGCGGGAGCTGGGGCCTCCCTGTCCCCGGCATGAGATCGGTGCCTGCTTCCCGCCCCGGGAAGCCGCAGAAAGGAGCCCCGGTAATGGGGCCAGTGTGGAAGGCACCAGCCCGGTCACCCACCAGGTGCCCCGCGATGCCGACTCCACACTCCCCCTGCCCCCGGGCAGAGCCTCCCGCCCGCTCGCCTCCATTTCCCCGCTGCCGCGACTCCAAAGAGATAAACCCCCTCTCTGGGCCCTCCTTTCCCTGTGGACACCCGTGTCCGTGGGTGGGGGCTGTCCCCGAGCCCGCAGCCGTCCCCGTCCGGGCTGCTGCAGCCGCCGGTACGGCCGGGGAGGAACCCCACGGAGAGGAGCGAGTGGGAAGCGTTGCTCCGGCTCGGAAATCCGGCTGGTTTTTATCGCATCTGTGTCCAGGTGCAATATCCTTGGCCTTGGCAGGGGCCGTGGCACCGAGTTTTTAACCCCGGGTTGCCCGAGCGGTGTGGGGCGGGGGTCTCTGCCGGCCCCAGCTGTTGATTCCTCCCCCTCCCCGGTGTGGTCGTTCTCTCTCTCCAGAAGCAAACCCTCCCCCCGCCAAAAAAAATCAAATCGGGAAAAGCAAAGAATGAGATGGAAATATACAAATCAATAGAGACAAATGTCAAGACGTTTTAAAATGACATTTTCATTAACTCCGAGTCACCATATTATGTCTGGTATATTGAATAAAGTACTTATAATATAATTAGGTATAGCGAGATGACGACTGTTACCCAGACCAGCGGCATAATCTTTAACTACTTAACTACTTGATAGACTCATTAATGGACTAATTGATTAGGAAAAGTGTTCCAGCTCCTCCTCTCCCTCTGAGGGGCAGGTGCTGTCCTGTTTTACCACATTAACCTTTTCAGTGCTTTTCAACAGGGTCGCGACACATTACAAATGGTCAGCTTTAATCATGATGTCAGCTCATTAACCCGGAAAGACCCCGCACTGAAATACAATTTAAGAAATCGTCCTTCATCCCGCTCTGCCGCCCCGGCTGGCCCCGCACACAGACCCAGCGCCCCTCCCGCGGGCGGGGAGCGGGGCGAGGGGACTCCGGGCAAAAGCCGTCGAGGGGACCTGTCCGGCCTGGGGAGAGCCCCCGAGGGCTGCCAGCCTTCGGATACTTCGTGGGGACAGACCCGGAGCAGGGAGGGAAGGCGACCGAGAGGAAGCCCCGCTCCCCCAACAGCCCCTCGACGTGACACCGCAGCACCACCGGCCTCCAGCTGCCGCCCACAGCAGCTCCTTTCCGTCGAAGCCCACCAGCTTCCTTCCCCAAGGAGAAGGTCCTGCCCGTGGGAGCCGCCCGGGTGCCTGCGGCCGGGCCAAGGGAATACTCCAGGGCTCTGGGACATGGACGCTGGGCGGGCCGAGACGCACAAGCGCTGCTGCCCGGCGTGAGCTCTACTCGGCCAGAGCGAGAAAACGAACAGATTTCCCTGAAATGAGTATTTCAGGTGAAACTTGGGAAACGGCCTCTCCGTTCGGGAGGGAGGGAAGCCAAGCCGGATTGTGCGGGATGCTCGCCGCCGCTGTCGGGAGGGGAGGAACGGCGGGTCGGAGCGGCCCAAGCCACGCACTCATTACCATCTGATCAAATATTCATCAGGGCAGGGGCTGCCGGCCACGGGAAGGGTTTTGCGTGGGGGCAACCCGCGGCTGGCTCCCTCCACCCCCGCCCCATAGCCCGTCCCGTCGGGGCACAGATGATCAAACGCCGCGGCGAAGATAAACTTTGAAAGACAGAGCGAACGCTTAAAGTTTAGATCTCCAGATTATTACAATGCTCGATATTAAAGTGGCCCTGAGCAAGCTTTCAAAGGGAGCCTAATAAAAATTGATCTCCGCTGCTTTTGCAGCACTCGGAAAATAGGCTTGTTGAGCGGCCGTAATATCGGGAGAAGGTTCCCTCTGAAATGACAGATGAAGTCATAAACAAGTTTGATCTTGGAATCAAGC